ATAGCCCAGAAACCTTTTTTTTTTTTTTTTTTTTTTGTCTGTATTAGCAAAGACCAAATCCACCACGTAGCATAATGTGTGGCTTGGAGACACCTCATTCCCACCATGCTGCCAGTCAAGCTCACATGCTACGAATCCACCATTGAGTAAGTAGCTCAAGCCTGTGTGTTGCGGCATCTCACTGCTGGAATGAGACATGAAGCAGGAACCTGGTTTTGGCTCCATTTAGAATTGCTTATTAAATATTCTCAGGTTTCAGGTGGAAACTCAAGCTGTTGGGTGCCATTTGTAGCTGAAGTTTTCTTTTGTATGTCCCATTTTCTGCGTCCCATTACATGGTGCTTTTGTACACTGGTTTAATAAAACGCTGATTGGCCAGTAGCCAGGCAGGAAGTATAGGCAGGATAGCAGACAAGGAGAATTCTGGGAAGAGGAAGGCTGGGTCAGTAAATGCCAGTCCAGGGAGCAGCATGTAACAGCACACAGGTAAAGCCACGGAACTCGTGGCAACATATAGATGAATAGAAATGGGCTGAGTTTAAATGTAAGAGCTGGCCAGTGGTAGACCTGAGCTAATGGCCAAGCAGTTTTAATTAATATAATCTTCAGAGTGATTATTTTATAAGTGGCTGCAGGGTCTGAGTGTCTGAGCGCGATCAGAGAAAACTTCAGCTACAGTGGGACCACATCAGTCTGTGTGCATTAAGCCTCAAGTTGTCCATCTGTAAAGTGGAGATGCGCCATCCTGGGCAAAGAATGTGCTCGGCAGGGTGCTCAACATTGAGTCCTCCCCCTTGTCCTTGCCCAGCACCCTTGGAGGAACCTCGCTGCTTGTGGAATGGCTTTTTGGTGAATACAGGGCCCCTCCTGGTGGTGGAAGCAGGTACTGCATCCCATCCCAGTACAGGTCCCTTCAGGACACAGACCATGAGACCTTCCTGTAGTTGCAAGTTTTCTCTGGTCCCGCCTGGCCCCGTGGTCTCGCAGCTGCTTATAAAATAATCATCCAGAGGCTTAATATTATTTACAAACTGTATGGTCCATGGCAGGCCTCTTGCTAGCTAGCTCTTACATCTTAAATTAACCCATTTCTATTCATCTATGTGTGTTCCATGGCTTTACTGGTCTGCTGGCATGGTGTTCCTTGGGTGGCAGGTTGGTGTCTCTCTAGACTCTGCCTTTCTCTTTCCTGTCTCTCTCCTTCGATTTCCCACCACCTCTAAGCTGCCTTGCCATAGGCCAAAGCAGCTTATTTATTAACCAATGGGAACAACATATATTCACAGCGTACACAAAGACATCCCCAGCACTTCCCACCCCTCACATGCCAGGGCTCATGTCCACCACACCCTATCATTGATTCTGCGTTGAAGTGGCCCTTCCTCCACTTCTTGATGACAGAAAGTGTCACCTTCCTTGGAAGATTTCACAACTCTCTCTACTTAGTCCCCTCCCCCTCTGCCAGATAGAATTTAAAATAATCTCAGTATTTGGACTTATATCTAGATTTGCAAGACAAAAAGACGTGGAAGGATCTAGAACATATGCCTGTCCCCTACTTGGGAAACTCACAGAGGCCAGGGCCAGCCTTACCTGTTCCCAGGGTGTTACTCCTGAAAATGAATCAGGCTCCACCTCAAATCTCCTCAAGAAAGTTCTTCCCTAGTCTGGGTGAAATGACATGTGCTACATCTTTTTCTGGATTCTCCAAAACATTTGAGTTAAAGTTTTTTGAGACAGGATCTCATTAGCTTTGGCGGACCTAGAACATATTATGTAGACTAGGCTGGCCTTGAACTCTGGAGTTCTGCCTCCCAACCCTGGCCTTAAATATTTTGTATTTATTTGTGTGTGTACACACATGTGTGCACATGTGTACCAAATGCTTTTAGCTCAGCATGCACTTAGAGGTCAGAGGACAGCTGTGTGTAGATTTCAGGGATTAACCAGGCTTGGGCAGCAAGTGCCTTTAACCACTGAGCCATCTCTAGGTCCTTGTTTGTTTGTTTGTTTTTTTGAGAGAGGGTTTTTTTGAGCCAGGTGTAGCTCTGGCTATCCTGGAACTCACTCTGTAGACCAGGCTGGCCTTGAACTCAAACTCAGAGACCCCCCCTGCCCCTGCCTCCCGAGTGCTGGGATCAAAGGTGTGCACCACCACTGCCCATTTTTTTTGTTTGTTTTGTTTTTAAGGCAGTCTTGCTGTGTAGCCCAGGTTGGCCTGGAACTTGAGATCCTCCCATGCCATACAGGTATGAGCCAAATATCCAGCTGAATTTTTTAAGTGTGTGTGTGTGTGTGCGTGTGCGTGTGTGTGTGTATAACCTTTTTAGTGCTTTCGAATTCCCCAACACAGCCTGTGTGGTGGCCTCTCTTCCCCTCCAGCCACTGGCCATCCCTGTGCCAAGTTCCTTTTTTGAGGGCTCTCTCACAGCAGGTTCCTCCTCCTGGAAAACCTTGGTCCACCCCTTCTGGGTACACGTAGTCAGGAGTTTCCCTGTGTCCCACCTGGTCCTGCAGCCACTGGGACCCACGTAAATACACTGAGGCTTCTATTATTTATGAACTGTACAGTCTATGGCAGGCCTCTTTCTAGACAGCTCTTATATCTTAAATTACCCATTTCTATCAATCTATGTTTTGCCACGTGTTCTGTGGCTTACTGATTTGCTGGCATGTTGTTCCTTGGGCGGCAGGCTGGCGTCTCTCCCTCCTCTCTTCTTCTGATCTGCTTTTATTTCCTGCCTGCCTCTAAGCTGCCTTGCCATAGGCCAAATGGCTTTATTTATCAACCAATTAGAGGAACACATTCACAGCATACAGAAGGATATCCCACAGCAGGTAGCGTTTTTTTTTTTTTTTTTTTTTTTTTTTTTTCTGTTTTTTATTTTGAGACAGGGTTTCTCTGTGTAATAGTCCTGGCTATCCTGGAACTTACTTTGTAGACTAGGCTAGCCTTGAACTCACTGAGATCTGCCTGCCTAGTACTGGGACTAAAGGTGTGTGCCACCACTGCCTGGCTCTGGGTAGTTATTTAGTGCTCAGCTACAGTGCTATCCCCTGGAAGCCATGCTGGCCTCCTAAGTCAGGGCTTACTGGCCTCATCTAGCCCTCCCATTTAGACAGTGCAACAGTGTGGCCATTTCTTTCTGGCTTATTTGAGACAAGGTCTCACCTATCCCAGGCTAGGCCTTAAACTCATTACGAAGCTGAGGCTAGCCTAGAGCTCATGATCCGCCTGCCTCTACCTCTCAAGTGCCGGAATTACAGGTATGTACCATTACATCCAGCTGTCTTATTTTTGATACATTTTAAGAACCTTTTGTGGGTATGTGCACCCCTGTGGATGTGTGCTCATATTGTTGACTGTCTTCCTCCACTGGTCTCCAAGTCATTCCCTGAGGTGTCTCACTAAAACTTGCATTTTTGGACTTGACCAGACTGGCTAATGAGTTCTGGGGACCCATCTGTCTCTGCCTCCCCACAACCGTCCCCATGTTAGGGGTTACATACCTATGTCATGGGGTGCTAGGGACTCGAACTCTGACTTATATACCTGTATGCCAGGCACTTTACTGAGACATCCCCTCTTTTGTGTTTTTGTTTTTGAGACAGGGTAGGTTTCTCTGTGTAGCCCTGGCTATCCTGGAACTCACTCTGTAGACCAGGCTGGCCTCAAACTCGGGGATCCCCCTGCTTCTGCCTCCTGAATTCTGGAATTATAGGTGTATGCTAACACCCTTGCCTCTACTGGACATTTTTTTTTTTTTTTTTT